AATAAAAGTAGCCTAAGTTACTGTTATAACATCAACTATCTGCCAGTGGAAGTCCCGTCAAAATCAGTCCAGCCATTTTGGAGATTACATATTATATTATTAGACAAACATACGGTCTGACAGACAAAAATTTTAAAAATTGTGTTTTTCTTATAAACACCATATATAATTTCATATGCATTTAGTAAAAGAATAAGCATTTAGTGAAAGAGTAACAAACATAATCACAAGCAACCTTCACAATTATATTAGTAGAATGATACCAAATTATTAAGATCAAAAGCTAAACCTTAAAACCTAACTTAGTTCGTATTTTATGAATAAATAATTATTATTGTTAAGGGATAAGTAAACTGATGATTATAGGTTAAAGCTCTATATATTATATACACTTACGAGTATATTATTATATACATACATACTATACTCTATACGTACAATATATATATTATTTAATCTGAATCTCAAAACGGCTCCAATGATTTTCATGAAATTTAGTATACTAGGGGGTTCGGGGCGATAAATCGATCTAGATTAGTTTTATGTCTGGGAAAACGCGTATTTTCGAGTTTTCATCCGGTTTTGACTCAGTTAGAATTTTATTATATGTATTACGACAAGTGACATATTACACACTGTCCGGAAAATTCTATTTGTTATAAGCGTTTTAAAACTGTTCTCTATTAAGTAAGTATTACAGAACCAGTTCCAAGAAGTACCAACAAAGCGATTGTAAAAGTTTTTCGCTTTGGGACTCGCTGTCATTGTTTTAGTTTTATCATAAAAATCTTGCCTAGATGTGGCATTTGGTTCTTATTTAAACATTTTTGTTAGTATAATAAAAATACAATGAATAATTCTTTACTTAAATAAATATATATTATGAATCAAATATGCATTATTCTATAAAAAAAATTTAATCTATACATATAATAAAAGTATCACTAAACCGAATCTCTACATTAAATATTTTTTGAAAAATCTTATTGAAATAAACATTATTATCGATACAGAGGCCGAATCTATCTTAGGACTTACATATAGCCCATTTCTCACGTATAAAAACAAAGTCGCACTATTTAATTTTTTATTATAAAAAGTAAAGTGACATGGAATTGATTTAAAGAAAAGTTAGGATTTAAATTCACAATAATTGCTTTTTCATCTACAACTCGTACTTGGCCAATGAATTTATAAAATAATTATGTTAAAATTAAAATGTCTTTATACAATATTATGTTCAGGTTTTGTTATTACTATTTATGAATAACATTAAAAAAACCGAAGGCATATGCAGAGACTATCTAGACATCTACATATAATAAAATTGTAACTGAGTCGAATCTGTGCATTAAATATTTTTTGGAAAATCTTATGGAAATAGTAATTATAATCATTTTACATTACAGAGGCCGAATCTATAGTTTTTAAAATTTTTGTCTGTCTGTCTGTGACCAAAAACCACTAGTGGAATTTTGATGAAATTTGGTATGATGATGGCTGGTTATCTGGGACAACATATAGGATAATTTCTACTGCGGGAAAATATCTCATCTCTGAGAAATCTATACTAAACGTTAAAACGTAAGTAGGGACGAACCCGACTGGAGCAAGGGTGAGTCGCTAGTAGTAAAATAAAATAAAAAATAAAAGACTCTTCTAGTTGAAAATATATTTGAGATATTATCACGCGGAAGTTTTTGCTAAGGCAATACTAATTTAAACAGTTCCTACAACGGTTGCTGAATACGAATAGTTATTCTTTTATAGTAACTTTTTAAATAGTTATGCTTTAAAGAAAATTTTGAACCATCAAGGAAATTATGGGATGATGGATGGACATTATTATTTCTTGTGATTATATGACTATCAAAAGGCGTATCTAGCAGAGAGTAATGATATATCTATACAAATAAATAAAATTGAAGTGTCTGTGTGTAATGTTAAAATAACAGCTTTTCACTAAATGCCTATGTAATAAAAATATTAAAAAAAATATTTTTAATTTTTTTTCTGTCTATCTGTCTGACTGTTGGTCTATTTCCGCATCACGGAAAAACCACTGATGGGATTTTGATAAAATTTGGTTTGACGATAGCTGGTTATACGGGCATATATGATACTTTTTACTGCGGGAAAATATCTCATTTCTGAGAAATCTATACTAAACGATAAAACATAAGTAGAGACGAACCCGAGCGGAGCGAGGGCGAGTCGCTAATCTAATCTAAGCCCCCTGGATCGATACATAACCTAGTGCTATCGTATGAAATTGTCGAAAACTATTTGAATTATAATAAGTGTCCCAGATTATAAGAAACCTTGACGTATTTTGTAACCTTGACACGTCAGATTGGTTACACTTATGCAACGCCTTGATAGTTTAAAAAGGAAAAAAGAAATTTTGCATATTAAGACTTTATCTCAAGGAGTCCTAACAAAGTAGTCACCAGAGTAATAATTATTTAATTTAATATTTTATTTTATGATCTATGTAGGTTATACTGTGTTTAGTTCTAGCAACTCACCCTCGCTCCGCTCGGGTTTGTCCCTGAGTACGTTTTGACGCTTACTATAGATTTCTCAGAGATGAGATGTTATCCCCCAGTAAAAAGTATCCTATATGTTGACCCGGATAACCAACTATCATTACACTTAATTTCATCAAAATCTGTCCAACTGTTTTCTTGTGATACGGTGACAGACAGACCGGCAAAAATTCTAAAATTTTTTCGGCCTCTGTATCGATAATAATGACTATTTCAATATGATTTTTCAAAAAATATTAAATGTACAGATTGGACTCATAATTTTATTATATGTATATTGTATATAATAATAATTTTCTCCTGACCGATTCCGGCCTCGGCGGCCAATTTAGTGCTGAGCGCTGACTGGCGAGAGTTATGGTGCAGGACCGACGCCTTTACGTGCTCTTCGAGGTACGGAGTTGAAACATCGCCAACTCCCCAACTCCAGGCTGTTACTGAGGGCTTACCCTACAGAAAGACTCAATAACTAAACTTGGCCATACCCGAGACTCGAACCCAGGACCTCCGGGTGTGCAGCCGTACATGCCAGCCACTACACCACCGAGGCAGTCATATTTAAAATTTATATATTTATGTTTTAAGTCAAAGTGAAAAATAAGGGCAAAGCAAACTTTTCATATAATACTCCTACTTCATTAGAATTAGGTCGATCTCATATAAAGTACTCGATTAAAGATCTATTAAGAAGTTCTTCTATTAAGGTTTTTATGCAAATTATACTTTCTAAGCCTTGTTACCCTTGAAATATAGTTTGGTTCTTTTTGTGTTCATGACTTAATAACTATGAATATTCAACCATGAAAAGTTTTTGAAATTATAGTAGTAATAAAAAAATATAAATATTGACACCAGAAACCATTGATTGCGTAGAAAGCGAACTAAAAATATGAAAATTTGTTATATAATACGCAGTTGGAGACATTCATGTTTTATACTGGCTACAAATCTGGCTATAAATACATAAGATATCTATAGTACATCTCTTATGTGAACAAAATAATTCTGATTGTTTAATTTTTATATTAAACTAGCGACTCACCCTCGCTCCGCTCGGGTTCGTCCCTAACGTGTGCCACCCTTGTCACTTAGGGGTATGGAAAATAGATAGTAGCCGATTCTCAGACCTACTGAATACGCATATAAAATTTTTTAAAAATCGGTAAAGCCGTTTCGGAGGAGTACGGTAACTAACATTGTGACATGGAAATCTTTATATATATAATTCTTCTGTGAGTGTGTATGTCACTGAACTTCTCTCAAACGACTGGACCGATTTTGATGAAATTTTTTGTGTGTGTTCAAGGGGATCTGGGAATGGTTTAGATTCACAATTTGAATAATAATTTTCATCAAAAAAATTATTAAAAAAAGTTTGAAATTTTCAAATTAAAGACGTGTAGACAGGACAACGTCTGTCGGGTCCGCTAGTTTTATATATTAGATTAGAAAAAGGTTGGAGTACTTTTGTATGTGTTATAAATGCAATAGTTTGTAATCTTGTAGTTTTTAGTCCTTCACACTAAAATAGCTATACACATTTAGATGAAATTTAGTACTTATTTATTGTATTTATTTAGGTACAGGAATAGAAAACAAATTAAAAAAATTACAACTACGTATTAAAAGTAAAAATTTCATTTTAAATTTGTTGTCCGATTATATCTGTATACGAAATTCAAATAATTCATATAATTATGATGTTCTCCTGGCCGATTCCGGCTACGGCGGCCAATCTCATTGAGACTAGCCAACTGCGCAGGAGATGTTATAGTGCACAAGTGTACGCGCAGGCGCAAGTGCACTCTCTATTCCTGTCACTCTCATACTCCGGTGGGACGACTGCCCGACACGACCAGTGAGAGTTAAGGCGCAGGACCGACGGCTTTACGTGCTCTCCGAGGCAGGGAGGTGAAACACCGCCAACTTCCCAACTCCGGACTGTTACTGAGACTTACTATACAGAAAGACTCAATAACTAAACTTGGCCCAACCCGGGACTCGAACCCAGGACCTCCGAGTGTGCAGCCGAACATGCTAGCCACTACACCACCGAGGCAGTTATATATAAATAAACTTTAAAGGGGGAAAAGTGAATATACAAATGCACATAGCATTTAAAGTTAGATAAAAATATAAAAAACAAAATATATCTACATTTCTAATTCATTTCAAAAATAAAACAACGAAAGATATAAAAGAATAAGGAACAGAGAGAAAGTATATCCTTACTATTGAAAATGTAAAAGATAAAACTAAAAATAATTTAGACAAATCGACAAATAGACTAAACCCTACAGTAACACAGACTGTCCTGGGACGTACCCTAACAAAGCAAGAAGAAAGTCGCTAGTATGCTGTATTTAAAGGTGTATAATAATTTTATTTTCTTAAAAACTATTAAATCTGCATATACCTATTTAACTATTCGCTTCAAAGTAAGAAACTTACCCGCCATCTTTTTACTTCTGACAACCGATTCGCGAGTACACAACCAGCAGATCCCCCACCAACAATTATAAAATCATATTCTTCTATTGGCCTTCTTTTTCTTGACCCTGTTTCCCTTTTTATTATTTTTATTTCCTTCGTCACTGAAACTTTCTTGGAATCTGCAAAATCTGCATCTTCAAAGGATTTCTTCAAGAAATCGAAATCAAAAATTGGTTGGCGTGCTTCAAATTTGGCAAAATCATTTTTATATCCAAAATCGTGAAAGAACGGATTTTGTAATGGACTAGATTCAAATGAGTGGAAATTATTTTTATGCTTATAAGGTGAAGGATGTGAGGTTTCTATACTGTAACCAGACTTAAATGCTTCTAAAGGATAGTCGTATGCCCTCGTAGGATTCTCCCATGGCGATACGTAGCTCGTGCTTAAAAAGCCATTATTATATGGGTTCTTCTTTAAATTAGGCACGCTGTATGACACACCGCCAAAGAGTTGAGTCACAAGCGACAAGAACATGTATCCTGTGGGAGAACACTGAGTTATAGGCGCGTGTTGCTCCGGACAAATAGAACTTATATCCAATGGCGTCCAAGTTGACATTTTACTTTCACTCTCACAGCATATATTTTATACAACGTTTTTATTAGTTTATATGTAAATGATATAACTTTTTAATTAAAAAATACACTTAATGTTAATTATTTAGTGTACTTCGCGTGAGCGCTACAGATCGAATGATCGATTGCTGTTAGAGCGAGTGAAAGAAACTATGGCACGAAATTTATTGTTATCTGAGTAAATACTTCTATTGTTTAATAAGGTGAAAAAATTATATAAATATAAAATAAATAACTGTAGTTTATTGATTTTTTTAATAATAGTTTTATTTTAATTATATCATTTTAATATTATCTGTGCATAATTTCTAACCTTGTTTTTTTTTCTTTCTTAGTATGCAAACGATACTGTTTTGTATGAGGTTTTCTTTATTTATTTATTTATGTACCAGAAAAAATAAAATAATGCGGAGCGGTGGTACAAACTACAAACATCAATACGTACATAGATACATACACATATTTACATAGATAATTACATACATACCTACATATTACATATATATTTATTACTAACTAATAAGTTTTATTATAAAATGTTAAACTACAACTTGTTATTTTATTCCTAAATAAAACATACAATATACTAATACAGACATGATAATAGCGGTGATCTTTAATCGTTAAAAGAAAAAGAGGAAATAATTTATGCATCGATATATAAATAGATTTTTATATTTAGTAGGACTAGTTTTCATGAATCTTTTTTAATTCAAGACAAACTTTCACATGTATAGGTGGAATATTTTATTTTTAAGTGATTTTCAAGATGGTTTACCTTTTTATATATTTAAACCACTTACATTTAATTTATACATACACTTTTATTTTATTTTAGATTTTGTTGTTTCAAATATATATTTATTTAAAGGTTTAATATAGATTTCTCAGAGATGAGATATTTTCCCGCAGTAAAAAGTATCCTATATGTTGACCTGGATAACAAGCTATCGTCATATAAAATTTATTCAAAGTCTATTCATTGGATTTGTCGTGATGCGTTCCCAAATAGACAGACAGACAGACATACAAAAATCCTAAAAACTATAAATCTGCTTCTGTATCGATAATAATAATTATTTAAATAAAATTTTTCAAAAAAAAATTAATATACAGATTCGATTCAGTTGGAATATTATTATTATGTATAGATAGATAAATGAATAAGCGTAAATTGTAAAGTAATTAATAACATCACTCAACACATAAAGTTTTTATTTCAAATGTAATATTTAAATTAATATTATAAAACCGAAATAAAACTTTCTCATGAACAAAATTTCTAAAGTTATTGTTAATTATGTAATACATAGTACAAATATAGTAGTAGTTTTATTTTATTCTATTATACGAATTTTAAAGACGTACGTAGATTACGTACTGTATCATATATTTTTTAATATAAAAAATTCAAACTAAACTATTTTTTTAAATGTTTACGATATAAGTGTTACATTTTTTAATATGTACTTAATTATATTTTATTATTATCATTTAAACGTCGACCAGTCTTCTTTGATTAAATCAGCTGCTTTTTCACCAATCATTATTATAGGTGCATTTGTATTACCCCGAACTGTAGTTGGCATAATAGAGCCATCAATTACACGTAAAGATTTAATTCCATGCACTCTTAATCTTGGATCTACTACGGCCGTTTTATCCCATGTTGGCCCCATTTTACAAGTCCCTACTGGATGGAAGATGATAGAAGTATATTCATATAGTATACAGGCGAAGTAGTCGTATGATCCCCATTCATATGACTCACAACCTTGCAGTGGTTTCCGTATATAAGATGCCCCGATACTTTTAAATGCATTTGTATTTTCTAAGGTAATTGCAGTCCTAAATCCTTCTACCAAAACGCGTACATCTTCTTGAGATGTAAAGAATTCTGGATATATTAGCGGTTGGGCAAAAATTGGATCGGTTAAATTTAATAGTATACGCCCCCTACTTTTCGGTGTCAGTAAAAAAGGTTTTACAGCCATGCCATTGTAAAAAGATAGGGGTAATATAGTGCTTTGTAAATATGTTTGTGGGTCACCATAAAAATCTTCCACCTTTATTGAGCCAAAATGATATTCTATATCAGGTGCATTTACTGTAGCATATTTAGTTTTAATAAATCCAACGGCATTTAAATTCCCTGGAGCTGAAAGAGGTCCATTATTATGATCTTGTGACCTATATAGCAATACCTCGTTTAGTAATTGGGTGGTATTAAGTTGAGTTGAAGTATTTTGAAGAGAAAATATTAGTCCTTCAGTTGTTACATGTTCCTGTAAGTTTTCACCAACATTTAAGTCAGCGATTACTGATATGTTTAAACTTTCTAAATGTTGTCTTGGTCCTATACCAGATAGCATAAGGATTTTCGGAGAACTTATTGTACCTCCACTTACAATCACTTCTTTACTCGAATATACATTATAAAATTGACCATTTTTATAAAATGTTACTCCTTGTGCATTTTTGGTTTCTGGGTTTATTATTATTTTAGTAACAAATGCATCTAATATTATGTTAAGATTTGGTCTTACGTTACGTATTGGTCTTATGTAGGCCAAATTTGCTGAAAATCGCCTTCCATTCTTTAAAGTACTTTGCACAAGATTTACTCCGAGATTATCTGGTAAAGTTAAATCTCTTTGTTTTAGTCCAATTTCTTTAAAAGCTTCTATCAATGTTAGCGTATTATCGTTTACGTATGGTGGCCTTTCGACATTGAGTGGTCCGCCAACTCCGTGATATTTTGTATCAAATGCTTCCTCATTTCGATTGTTTTCAGATTTTTTGAAATAAGGTAGAACCTAAAAATATTAATCTTTGTTAAATATAACTCTTTTTTTCAATAAATTAAAACATATAATTTTATAATTCTAATATTTATTATACCTCATCATAACTCCAGCCAGAGTTTCCCATATCTGCCCAGCCATCATAGTCAAGCCTATTTCCTCTCATATATATTAAATAATTTATAGCACTGGAACCTCCCAAAGTCTTTCCTCTAAAAATAATAATCCATAGTGAATTATAATATATTTTTTCTTTAATGTAGCAAATAGCGTATACATGTTTTTAAGTGAGAATTAAAATATATTAATTAAGGAAGGAGGAGATATATAGAAGGAGGATCATATATATATATATATATATATATATATATATATATATATATATATATATATATATATATATATATACATAATATAGTACCCGGGCCACCGAACTTCGCTCGGAGTTTTTGGTTAAAAAGTAATAACTTGAATAAATACAAAAAGAAAACAAAAATAAATTATACCTTTGTATCCGACCGGGATTCGAACCCGGACACCTATGATTATCAATCATGCGTCTTTTTTAAAAAAAAACTAAAAACTTGAATAAATATTAAAAAAAATATAAAAGTGAAAACTTTGTATGCAACCGAGATTCGAACCTGGACACCTGTGATTGTTGATCTTGCACCTTGGCCGCTTCAGCACGATGCTTATACCCGAGCGTGCAAATTAATGACCATATTTTGCGTGGAATAATGCAAAAGAAAACTGCATGAAAACTCGAAAACATGCGTTTTCTTAGACATAAGACTAATCTAGATCGATTTACCGCCCCTGAAACACCCTGTGCGCTGAATTTCATGAAAATCGTTGGAGCCGTTTCCTAGATTCAGATCATATAGATATATGATTTGATAAATTCAATTAGATTTTAGACCATTTAGATTTTACCTTGGCCACGTACACTGTCCACTAAATATTCTACATGTAAGTTTTTCGGGTTGCGTCCTGAAATTCCAGTCTATATTGGATCTACTTAGGATTGGTGGAAATGCTGGTACCATTGTGATATCTGGTTCTTCAGAACCTGCTTCTAGTAAGAGTACCTGGTCATTTTAATAATATAATAATTTAACATAAACATCTAGTACGTATAAGAAAATAAATGAAATTAAATTGAAGTAAATAATCCATGTACCATAGATTAAGAGAAAAGATTCCATTTTGACTATTGTTTAACGTGATTACATTAAAGTATGTATTAAAAATACTTGGTATCAACGTTTTGTCACATTTTAAAATGATTTTGCCATAATATTTCAACGATTCAAAAATTCTATGCACTTTACTGATGAAGATAAAAAATATAAAGGGAAAGTCATTGTACAGCGTTTATGAATTGATATTAATTGTTTTTCTTCATGACAATACTAGACGTGCATTGTAGTTTTGTATTGTCTTTGTGCTAACATTGTATTACTCAACAATTGGTTCCCAAGTTCTTACGAGTTAGTATTGTTTGTAAGCCAGAAAATCTGTGTTGTAATGTAACAAATACTTAGATAATTACAGTATATTTAAAAGTGTTGCATTACTTATAATATTTTCAAAGATTATTTTGTACATTAAAATACAAAGGCTACATTAAGACAAGTGGATAAAAGTTTTTATATATTTTTTTTGTGTGTGAAAATTACTGCATTGATTTTTATGTAACTGATGATTGTTTAAAGGAAATAGTATTTATTTACTTAAAATTATAATAAAAAAAAGAAGTATAATATATTAATCTACACATTACCTTGTTATACTAATATACTAAAACCAAAGATACATACACTGTCAGCGTCTCAAAAGTATCCTCAAAAAGCAGGATAGAATATCGTACTTTGGATAGTTAAAATTTATGAGGATTATTTTTAATGTTCTTTTAATTTGTTTTAATATATCGGTCGAGGTACTATACGACAAATTTTAATGGCCGCTAATATGATATAAAAACAGTAAATAACAATCTCCTTTTATATCTAGTCGACTAATACAAATAACTCTGCGTTTAATTAAATGAAGTCGTTATCGTTATGTATCTTTTTAATTATTTGTATGTAGTACTAATTTAATGACATATTTTATAAGTTAAAAATAATCCGTTTTCATTTATAACGAAAAATGTGTTTTATTTAAAAAGAACAAATTCACCAGTTATTTTTATTTTTCCTTTAAAATAATTCATTGGTCAAAGCCATTACATAAGTCTAATGATCATAGGAATTTTACGGATTTATTATCAAATTGTAATTTTTCTCAGAAAATATAATAAATATAACAACGATTCTACTAATAGGAATTCTACCATCTAGCTTTTATTCAGCCTGACTCCCAAAGGCCATTACTTTTCCGAAGACAAATTTTAAAACATGACATGACGGAAATTATTTTGTTTAAAAAAATTTATTTGGTGTAAGTTCAAATTTATGTTTACATAATCAGAACTTACGATTTATGGGTATACGAATTCTTTGGTTTACTAAGAGTTACAATTTAACGCCACTTATTGAAAAGATATTTTTTAGGATTTTTTACTAAAAAACCTTTAATGAACTAAATTTCTGTCTAGATCAGATTCACTATTCGTTGTTTAATTTCAAAACTTTGAAAAGTTTAAAATATAAAAAAAGTACTTACTCTCCAATGTCTTACTTCCGATAAGCGATTTGCTAGCACACAGCCAGCAGATCCACCACCAACAATAATGAAATCATATTCCGTAAAAGATTGTTGTTGCCACGTCCTTGACGTACCACCTTTTTCGTTAGTATCCTTAATTGGAGAAGCCGTTGTTTCGGGTAATGTTGCAGAAATTTCTTCATATTCTGATATTTCTGATAATGATGATATTCCATACATTGGCAGTCCTCCTGATATTGTTGGGTTTTCTGCTATTGATTGCCATGTTGATGACGTTTTTGACGTTGGCGTGGGTGACATGGCTGGCAATGATGGTTGAATAGACAGTAAAGAAGGTATAAGTGGTGAAGGTGGTGGTGGTGGATATGGTACCTGATCTGGGTATGCAATTGTACCTGTATAAGATATACTATACGAAACACCACCAAACAGTTGAGTAATAAGGTTTAAAAATATATATCCCGTTGACGAACACTGTGTTAATGGGGCAGTTTCCTGTGCGCATATAGCGCTTAGATCTAAAGGCCTCCATACTGTCGTCATTGTTAGCAGGTAAAAATAAAGTAGATATAAAGTTGTCTTCAACAGACCATTTGTGTAACAACAGATATTATTTACTTCACTTTCGCAAATGAACACATCAAATTAAAGAGAAGGCTATAAATAGCATTTTTTTTATTTGTATTTAAAACCCAATTTGTTTTTTATAAAATTAATGAATATATTAGCAAAATTGGTTTATGTAGGTTGTGAATTAATCATGAGAATAATAGATATCTTTTTTTTAATTTTGATAATTTATAATTTACCACTAAAAATTCATCGATAACTTTCTTATCTGTGTTTTATGTAAATGTTATTTTCAATGTGTAATTAACTTTTAATTAACATGTGTGCACACTTTAGTAAATATCAATGTAATATTAAGATAAACATTCTGTTTCATACTATTTTTATGTATCGATATTTTTGTTAAATAATGTTTGAAGTCGAGTCTTTATTTCTTGCACTTGCGAGTTTAAAAACCGGCTAAAATTACAAAGAAAATATTTTTTACTGTTGTGATTAAGACGGATCATAAAATATCATCATGTTGGCAAAAAATTACAAAAAATAACGATTTTTATACATAATGCGAAGAACTCATCCTCTAACTTTTGAGCTAGGTACTCTAAATTCAACTGAATTAGAATTTTACTTTGATAGATGTCAAAACAAAATAACAGTTACTTGAGAGAAAATGCAATTAAATATAAATAAAACCATGATGGAAATAAAAATAAATATGTTGGTACATTAACGCACAGCACCATCTAGTTCCATGGTAAGCTACGAGACTTGTGTTATAGATACCAGATAGTTGATACACTACACACATATAACTTCTAATTACATACATATTATAAATATAAATATAAACACCCATGACTGGAGTACAAACATTCGTCCTCATCACACAAATGAATGCCCCCAGCGGGACTCAATCCCGCGACCGCTGGCAAAGCAAGTAAGGATCACTACAAACTGAGCCAACCGTGTCACGTTTGGCTCAGTTTGTAGTGACCCTAAAAATAAAACGAAAACAAAAAATAACAGTGACAAGAATCTTTTCCATTTTAGCCTTTTAGCTACGGAACCTTAAAACACAGCCTCCTATGCAATCTCTAATATTTTGCGTGTTTAAGAATAATATATCTTCCTAATTGCGAGTTCTTTTCCCCATCGATGGACTTTCTGTTCATTACTGGTAAAGCAATTTCCAATTTAACAATATATAGTATAACTAGCATTGCCCCCGGCTCCACTCGCTTTCAGATGACCAAAAACCAAATTCTTAGGTTTTACATATTAGTATACTATTACATTGAAGTTTTTGTATACTTTCTCAGAAATGAGATATTTTCCCGCGGTAAAAAGTATTCTATATGTTGACCTGGATAACCAGCTACCATCAAACCAAATTTTATCAAAATCCCTTCAGTGTCTTTTCTGTGATGCGGTAACAGACAGACAGACGGACAGACGGACAGACGGACGGACGGACGGACGGACAGACAGACAGACAGACAGACAAAAATTGTAAAAACTATAGATTCGGCCTCTGTATCGATAATAATGTCTATTTCAATAAGTTTTTCCAAAAAATATTTAATGTACAGATTCGACTCAGAATTTTATATGTATAGATTATTGAAACTGCAAAATATTCACCCATAATCCATTAGGGCTTCCATGCACATACACATACATACACCTGTATATAATTATATATATATATATATATATATATCTCCACGCATTTCTTCGAAACTAGTAATCGGATCGTGATCATTCTTTTTTATACATATTTTTATTTATTTCAATTTACGGAATAGTAAAGAATTCATATTAAGCATATTGGTATTTTTATGAATTATATAAATCTGAACATTTCTGAGGTTGTTAATTTGTACAAAATACCAATAACTATATCCACATAAAACTTAATTTTTATAGCATTAAACTAGTTAAAATATTCTACAGCGTCCAAGCGCGTACTTTACCACACATTTGTCTGCGAGCGATTATTCTATGCACGCACATAAACAAAAATACTCGTATGTTACGAAACTCGAATCGTCGTATCAGCTTTGCTCTACAAACATCGCGCGGCGACGACAAGACAAGGTCAGGCGCAAGTGCAGCCACCTACATTTCATCAATGCAAATGTCTCAACTTCCTACAATATTATTGTATAAAAGGCATTACTTGGCTGCATCTTCACTGATTTGATCAAACATCGATCGACAGTCACTTTAGTAGTAAGAAATTTTAGTTAATAAAATAATTTTAAGTTAATTTGCATTTCTTTGCATCCCCTGGCTGCCTTTTTGCATTTAGAAACAATAGGAAAGGCAAGACAAAAAATTACCATTTTTCTGTAAAAAAAAGTAATAGATATTTTAGTCCCATGGATTTTTTTTATGAAAAATATATTTTTAAGAGTTGACGATTCACATATTTTTTTCATGCATTTCGGTCAAGCCATCAACGAGAAGTACGCTTTAGAAAGTAGCTCTTTGAGGGTACCAATCGCCTTAACATAGATTTCTCAGAGATGAGATATTTTCCCGCAGTAAAAAGTATCCTATATGTTGAATTTCATCAAAATCTATCCAATGGGTTTGTCATGATGCGTTCCCAGACAGACTGACAGACAAAAATCCTAAAATCTATAGATCCGCTTCTGTATCGATAGTAATATAACAATAAGATTTTTCAAAAAAAAATATTTAATATACAGATTTCGATTCAGTTGGAATTTTATTATATGTATAGATAGATAGATGAATGAGCGTAAATTGTAAAGTAATGAATAACATCACTAAACACATAGAGTTGTTATTTCAAATGTAATCATTAAATTAATTTTATAAAACCGCAATAAAACTTCCCCATGAACAAAATTTCTATATTTATTATTATGTAATATATAGTACAAATTATAGTAGTAGTTTAATTTTATTCTAGTATAGGTATTTTGAAGACGTATGTAGAGTACGTATTGTATCAAATATTTATATATAAAAGGCAAGCCAGACCATTTTTTTATAATGTTTACGATATAAGTGTTATGTTTTTTAATATGTAGGAAGACAAACGTACTTAATTATATTTTTTTATTATTATTTAAACGCCGACCAGTCTTCTTTGATTAAATCAGCTGCTTTTTCACCAATCATTATTATAGGTGCATTTGTATTACCCCGAACCGTAGTTGGCATAATAGAGCCATCAATAACACGTAAAGATTTAATTCCATGCACTCTTAACCTTGGATCTACTACGGCCGTTTTATCCCATATTGGCCCCATTTTACAAGTCCCTACTGGATGGAAGATGATAGAAGTATATTCATATAGTATACAGGCGAAGTAGTCGTATGATCCCCATTCATATGACTCACAACCTTGCAGTGGTTTCCGTATATAAGATGCCCCGATACTTTTAAATGCATTTGTATTTTCTAAAGTAATTGCAGTCCTAAATCCTTCTACCAAAACGCGTACATCTTCTTGAGATGTAAAAAATTCTGGATATATTAGCGGTTGGGCAAAAATTGGATCAGTTAAATTTAATAGTATACGCCCCCTACTTTTCGGTGTGAGTAAAAAAGGTTTTACAGAAACGCCATTGTAAAAAGATAGGGGTAATATAGTGCTTTGTAAATATGTTTGTGGGTCACCATAAAAATCTTCCACATTTCTTGAGTCAAAATGATATTCTATATCAGGTGCATTTACTGTAGCATATTTAGTTTTAATAAATCCAACGGCATTTAAGTTCCCTGAAGCTGAAAGAGGTCCATTATTATGATCTTGTGACCTATATAGCAATACCTCGTTTAGTAATTGGGTGGTATTAAGTTGAGTTGAAGTATTTTGAAGAGAAAGTATTAGTCCTTCAGTTGTTACATGTTCCTGTAAGTTTTCACCAACATTTAAGTCAGCGATTACTGGTATGCTTAAACTTTCTAAATGTTGTCTTGGTCCTATACCAGATAGCATAAGGATTTTCGGAGAACTTATTGTACCTCCACTTACAATCACTTCTTTACTCGAATATACATTATAAAATTGACCATTTTTATAAAATGTTACACCTTGTGCATTTTTTGTTACTGGGTTTATTATTATTTTAGTAACAAATGCATCTAATATTATGTTAAGATTTGGTCTTACGTTACGTATTGGTCTAATGTAGGCCAAATTTGCTGAAAATCGCCTTCCATTCTTTGAAGTACTTTGCACAAGATTTACTCCAAGATTGTCTGGTAAAGTTAAATCTCTTTGTTTTAGGCCAATTTCTTTAAAAGCTTCTATCAATGCTAGCGTATTATCGTTTACGTATGGTGGCCTTTCGACATTGAGTGGTCCGCCAACTCCGTGATATTTTGTATCAAATGCTTCCTCATTTCGATTGTTTTCAGATTTTTTGAAATAAGGTAGGACCTTAAAATATTAAGCCTATTTAAATATAACTCTTTTTTTTTCAATAAATTAAAACATATAATTTTATAATTCTAATATTTATTATACCTCATCATAACTCCAGCCAGAGTTTCCCATATCTGCCCAGCCATCATAGTCAAGCCTATTTCCTCTCATATATACTAAATAATTTATAGCACTGGAACCTCCCAAAGTCTTTCCTCTAAAAATAATAATTCATAGTGATTTTTAATATATTTTTTCTTTAAAGTAGCAAATAGCGAACATATATTTTAATGACAATATGAGCAATATTAAGTGAGAAATAAAATATATTAATTAAGGAATATTTCTATTATGTATTTTATTAAAGTATGAAGTGATATTGTACTTACTAACATGATCATGTGTATATACTGTATATATATATATAGCGAGCGAAGCTCGGTGGCCCAGGTACTGTATATATATATATGTGTGTGTGTGTGTATAGTACCTGGGTCATCGAGCTCCGAATGGAGATTTTGGTAAAAAAGTACAATTTTCTTTAAAAAAAAACTAATAATTTGAATAAATAAATACAAAAAGAAAACAAAAATAAATTATACCTTTGTATTTGACTGGGATTCGAACCCGGACCTATGATTGTCAATCTTGCGTCAATCATGCATCAAAATAAAAGTAAAAACTTGCGTCAATCGTGCATCAAAATAAAAGTAAAAACTTTGTATGCTACCGAGATTTAAACCTGGACACCTGTGATTCTTGATCTTGCACCTTGGCCGTTTAAACACGATGCTTATACCCGAGCGTGCAAATTACAGACCATATTTTGCGTGGAATAATGCAAAAGAAAACTGCATGAAAACTCGAAAACATGCGTTTTCTTAGACATAAGATTAATCTAGATCGATTTACCGCCCCCGAAACACCCTGGATATATAATTTGATAAATTCAATTAGATTTTAGACCATTTAGATTTTACCTTGGCCACGTACACTGTCCACTAAATATTCTACATGTAAGTTTTTCGGGTTGTGTCCTGAAATTCCAGTCTATATTGGATCTACTTAGGATTGGTGGAAATGCTGGTACCATTGTAATATCTGGTTCTTCAGAACCTGCTTCTAGTAAGAGTACCTGTTCATTTTAATAATATAATAATTTAACATAAACATCTAGTACGTATAAGAAAATAAATGAAATTAAATTGAAGTAAATAATTAATGTACCATAGATTAAGAGAAAAGATTTAATTTTGACTATTATCTAACGTGATTACATTAAAGTATGTATTAAATATACTTAGTACCAACATTTTGTCACATTTTAAAATGATTTTGCTATAATATTTCTACGATTAAAAATGTTATTTACTAATATACTAAAACTAAAGATACACACTGTCAGCGTCTCAAAAGTATCCTCAAAAAGCAGGATAGAATATCGTACTTTGGATAGTTAAAATTTATGAGGATTATTTTTTAATGTTCTTTTAATTTGTTTTAACATATCGGTCGAGATATTATACGACAAATTTTAGTGGTCACTAATATGTTAAATAAGAACAGTAAATAACAATCTCCTTTTATATCTAGTCGACTAATACAAATAACTCTGCGTTTAATTAAATGAAGTCGTTATCGTTATGTATTTTTTAATTATTTTTATGTAGTACTTACTAATTTAATGACATATTTTATAAGTTAAAAATAATCTGTTTTTTTTTTTGAAAAATTTTTTGAAAAGAACAAATGCACCAGTGATTTTCATTTTTTCTTTAAAAGTATTCATTGGTCAAAGCCATTACATAAGTTTAATGATCATAGGAATTTTATGGATTTATTATCAAATTGTAATTTTTCTCAGAAAATATAATAAATATAACAACAATTCTACTAACAGAAATTCTACCATGTAGATTTTATTCTGCCTGACTCCCAAAGGCCATTACTTTTCCGAAGACAAATTTTAAAACGTGACATAAACAATTTGTTTTGGTAAAAAAAAAAATTGGTGTAAGTTCAAATTTATGTTTACATAATCAGAACTTACGATTTATGGGTATACGAATTCTTTGGTTTACTAAGAGTTACAATTTAACGCCACTTGTTGAAGAGGTATTTTTTAGGATTTTAAACTAAAAATCAGATTCACTACTCGTTGTTTAATTTCAAAACTTTCAATATTTAGAATATAAAAAAAGTACTTACTCTCCAATTTCTTACTTCAGATAAGCGATTTGCTAGCACGCAGCCAGCAGACCCACCACCAACAATAATGAAATCATATTCCGTAAAAGATTGTTGTTGCCACGTCCTTGACGTACCATCTTTTTCATTAGCATTCTTAATTGGTGAAGCCGTTGTTTCGGGTATTGTTACAGAAATTTCTTCATATTCTGATATTTCTGATAATGATGATATTCCATACATTGGCAGTCCTCCTGATATTGTTGGGTTTTCTGCTATTGATTGCCATGTTGATGACGTTTTTGACGTTGGTGTGGGTGACATGGCTGGCAATGATGGTTGAATAGACAGTAAAGAAGGTATAAGTGGTGAAGGTGGTGGTGGTGGATTAGGTACCTGATCTGGGTATGCGATTGTACCTGTATAAGATATACTATACGAAACACCACCAAACAGTTGAGTAATAAGGTATAAAAACATATATCCCGTTGACGAACATTGTGTTAATGGGGCAGTTTCCTGTGCGCATATAGCGCTTAGATCTAAAGGCTTCCATACTGTCGTCATTGTTAGCAGGTAAAAATAAAATAGATATAAAGTTGTCTTCAACAGACCATTTCTGTAACAACAGATTACTTACTTGAATTTCGCAAATGAACACATCAAATTAAAGAGAAGGCTATAAATAGCATTTTTTTTATTTGTATTTAAAACCCAATTATTTTTTATAAAATTAATGAATATATTAGTAAAATTGGTTAATGTAGGTTGTAAATTATTTTTTTTAATTTTGATAATATAATTTACCACTAAATATTCATCGATAACTTTCTTATCTGTGTTTTATGTAAATGTTATTTTAAATGTGTAATTAATCTTTAATTAACATGTGTGCATTTAAGTAAACATCGATTTTATATTAAGATAAACATTCTGTTTCATACTATTTTTATGTATCGATATTGTTGTTAAATAATGTTTGAAGTCGAGTGTTTCTTTCTTGCACTTGCGAGTTTAAAAACCGGCTAAAATTACAAAGAAAATATTTTTTACTGTTGTGATTAAGACGGATCATGAAATATCATCATGTTGGCAAAAAATTACAAAAAAAATAGATTTTTATATATAATGCGAAGAACTCATCCTCTAACTTTTGAGCTAGGTACTCTAAATTCAACTTAATTAGAATTTTACTTTGATAGACGTCAAAACAAAATTACAGTTACTTGAGAGAAAATGCAATTAAAAATAAGTAAAACCATGATGGAAATAAAAATAAATATGTTGGTACATTAACGCACAGCACCATCTAGTTCCATGGTAAGCTACGAGGCTTGTGTTATGGATACCAGATAGTTGATACACTACACACATATAACTTCTAAATACATACATATTATAAATATAAATATAAACACCCATGACTGGAGTACAAACATTCATCCTCATCACACAAATGAATGCCCCAAGCGGGACTCAATCCTGCGACCGCTGGCAAAGCAAGTAGGATCACTACAAACTAAGCCAACCGTGTCAGGTTTGGCTCAGTTTGTAGTGACCCTAAAAATAAAACGAAAACAAAAATTAACAGTGATAAGAATCTTTTCCATTTTAGCCTTTTAGCTACGGAACCTTAAAACACAGCTTCCTATGCAATCTCTAATATTTTGCGTGTTTAAGAATAATATATCTTCCTAATTGCGAGTTCTTTTCCCCATCGATGGACTGTCTGTTCATTACTGGTAAAGCAATTTCCAATTTAACAATATATCGTATAACTAGCATTGCCCCCGGCTCTACCCGCTTTCATATGACCAAAACCAAATTCTTAGGTTTTTCATAATTAGTATACTATTACATTGCAGTTTTTGTATATTTTCTCAGAAATGTGATATTTTCCCGCGGTAAAAAGTATCCTATATGTTGACCCGGATAACCAGCTACCATCATACCAAATTTCATCAAAATCCCTCCAGTGGTTTTTCTGTGATGTGGTAACAGACAGACAGACAAAAATTATAAAAACCATATATTCGGCCTTTGTATCGATAATAATGTTTATTTCAAGATTTAAAAAAAAATCTAATGTACAGATTCGGTTTAGTTACAATTTTATTATATGTATAGATATTAGTATTCAACATTTTATCTGTTCTCGATGATCGTAACAAGCTCATAACAGAATTACGTTAAACCTCCAGCGTGATTTTATTACGGTTGTAATCGCTTCCGGAACATTTTAATTACATACACAATGTTTCAAATTAGCGGAAAACATAATTACGTATTTTATCTCGGTTTACAAAATCATCTACTCTGCGAGCTTTGTTTTACCTTTGGTTTTGTATTTTACCTTTCTTTAATACTTTTTTGAGTGCTATTTGCGCATTGATGTAAGTGTTTATTAGTTCGTCTATCCTTTTCGCCTGATAACAAAAAAGAATTGCTAAGTATAAATCGATTTGGTTCTACCAACTTCTTATATTAGCATTTGTTTTGTGGGGCAATATAACGTGTAATTTTAATTATATTTATAGTCTCAAAAATACTCAGCGTTAAAATTGTGGCCAGGAAAAAAATTAATTAAAGCTTTATTTCAAACAAAATAATATATAAGTTCCTTAATTAATTAACTTTTATTTATAAATATCCTTTGATCGTATTGAATGTGAATGTCAAAAGGAGAGTAATGGTAATTTTTTTAAGCTTCCAATACTGATCACAAGTATTAACTATAATATCGAAAAATCAATAGGCTAATTTATATAATACTAGCGGCTCACCCTCGCTTGTGTGGTGTGTTGTGTACTAAGCTAGATAAGTTACTATAGTTTTTTAACTATCCCACGTGAAGTCTATAATTTTCCGGGATGAAAAGTATCTAAAATGTTGACTGGGGATATAAAATATCACCATGCAAAATTTCATTTAAATCGATACTAGAGTTTCGGAGATTAACCAGTACAAACAGACAGAAACAAAAAAATTGAAAAAAATCTGGATTTGTTCTATTTCTCTTCTTACATCCCCCTGACTCGGTTTTTAGCATTTTTTTTCAATGTACAGACATTCGACCTCTACAGTTTAATTATATGTATAGATGTACATTCTTAGATTTACGCGAATATTTGACAATTTAAATGAAACTATTTTTTTCGGATTATTTAGCAGATTTATTTTAATTTTTGGTTCCCGACGTTTCGAATGCTTTTTAATACATGCACTGTCTGTAAGAAGTAGATAACGCCTTTGAGACGTCTATAGAAAACCTTGGTCTCTCCCGTGACCATAATTGCTGTAAATTGTAATTCTATTTTTTTATCCTTATGATAAGGATAAGAAAATAAAATTACAATGTTGAAACAAATCACTGTAACTACTAAAACAACGTGTATGTACTGTTGCTGTGTAGTGTCGTGTCTTATGTACCGTACGTAGCAACAGTAAGTAACATTTGGCCAAATCTGAAAGAAATTTATAAGCCGAGAAAGTAAAATCCCTTTTTCTTTTATATTTCTATACCATACCTTCAAGCGTACGTTATCTTCTATTAAATATTACTCATTATTTTCAGGGTCTTATGTTTGCTCGTAGTCTGAGAATTTAACAGAGCTAATATTCTACAATGATATTACTAATGGAATCGAAAATTATATGTTTATGAGATCTTATTGATTTAGTCTCGTTAAAAAGAAACAAATTAAGCTACCTTACAAACAGATTTTACGACCTGTTGTCTATATTTTAGGTACAATTTTAATTGTAATCATTTCGTGAATTATTAGTTATCAAGTTTCCACGTGTAAAATTTCCGTACATATCTTTTCATCTCAAATGAAAGTATCTCAAAGGAATGTAAAAGTTATTTTTTATAGAATAAACTAAGCTTACTCAGTGTCGTGCTAACACAAACATCACTAAATCGGTTTAACTATTTAGACGTAAATGAAGAAGACAGATGTACTTTGTACAGCCTTACTTTTACACTATATATTATTAGAGAAGAGAGGGTAAGTCACTGAGACATTCCGTGTGTGCCTTTTTTATTTTCTTCTATTTATCATACAAGCTACGATCAAGTCAAAATCTGTTTGTATTCATCTTAATCTATCCAACTATTTTTTCATATTTTATGAATTTTTGTGTTGATTTTTGATTCTTGAGGTATCACAATGCACAATGCAAATAAATTTAAATGCAAATGTATGTATGTAATGCTTTACACCACTCAAGCTTTCGCATTTACATATATTATACACGTCTTTTGAAAATTTTCACATATATGTATTATAAAGCGGCTCACCCTCGCTTCGCTCTAGGTACGTTTAAAATAGATATAAATAGTAGGCAGAGTTACCTACTAGCCATGTAAATCATTTTTTTTTTGTGAATTTTATCGATATTTTAATAATCATTGTGCTATTCGGGGCGGAGACAAACCAAACAAATCAAGAACCACGAAATTCGGTCCAGGAGTTCTCGATTATTAGTGTTTTAACAAACCCGACTTTATTTTATATATATATATATCTGCCCTCCCGAACCTAAAGTGCAGTAACAGCAAAAACACGAATTCGAGAAAAACGCGCTTAAAGTTTAGAATCCATAAAAATATATCAAAAAGAGACTTTTCGATAAAACCTTGAATGGAAAGTGAAAGAATATGTACCAAACTAAAATACTAAACATTGTTACGTTAGTTTTTTTATAAAAAACTATAATTATGGCAATTTTAATTTTTTTGCCCCTATTACTACACACACTTTATTTGTATAATCTTTTCAAAAACTGTTTTAAATGCAGTAAATCCTGTTATTACTGCATTTTAGACATTTCTTCCATGATTGTTACTAACTAAAGTGCAGTAATATTATGAAAATACTGCTATTTAATCTGTTTTTTTGAACAAAACACTGATATTCCACACTTATAGTAATATAAAATTACCTTTAATTTTGATAATAATATGTAATTTCTTAAACAAAACTGGACATGCATTTATGACTATGCTATTAAAACTATTCATCAAAACATTGTACATTATAATCTAATAGTGTAAATTGTTTTATATGACTAACAATATAACAATCTTTACAAGATGTTGATAATCTTAACTAGTTAATCCTCTATAAAACTATATCACATGTATTTCTCATGCATGAATCAATAAAATTTACATAAAATCTTTCTTCTGAACATAACTAATTACTAAATGAGTATTCTTGTCTTACAAAAATAATAGTCCGAAAAGATTATGGAAGGGAGAACTAAGGAGAATTAACTTATATGGGAAACAGGTTGAAAAAGTGTCCAGTAGTGAGCAGCAAATTATAGCTCAGAAACTCACCGTTAAGCCTAGTTCGCATTAAGCTAGTATTTTAGTCTAGTAGCGAGTAATTTAGTAACTAAACGTGTCTGAACACTAAAAATTTAGTCGATTAGTTTAGTAAGTAATTTAGTCGAGTCAATCCATTTTATTCTATTTTTTTGGGCAAATTGCAGCCCCCACCACGCGTCCGAGTTCACTGGTTCACCGGCTAAACAAGTACGAACCTGTCGAATTAGTC